GGTGTGACCATTCTTATGAAACCTCTTCAGCAGTACTTTCACATGGTACTATTAATTTAGTATGTACTTCTAACTTTTGATTCTGTGGACAAAATTTCGCGGTGTGACCATTCAAATGAAACCTCTTTAACAGTACTTTCACGAGGTACTATTTGTTTTTCGGCATTTAAAAAAATGAAATTTGGAGTTTCTTGTCTAATTTTGAGCCTGGCCACCGCGTTGTGAGTGAAGAGGTTAGAAGTTTTTAGAACTTAGTTGTAACGTGCAATGGGGTCTTCCAGGCTGTAAGATCGCCAGAATATGCCCTCCCACCTCAAAAAAAAAATGCCTGATCTCATTTTGCGTAGTCAGATATTTGAAATACGCAGAACCATTATTAGATTAAAATATTTGGTTGATTGTTCTTTAAAATAGTGAGAACCTAGTTCTAATTAATGGAAACATTTGTCCCTGGTTTAGGTCAAGGGCTTTTCTTTTGAAATCGCAAGTGACAATACTTACAAACACCTTGAAATCTGCTTGCTTCATTTTTTGATAAAGGCTCAACAAAGCAGGAAGAGGAACAAGCAAGCAATGTAAAAACCACATGAAACGGAAACAACAGACCCTTCCAGGAGGTTTTTTTCATCTCTTTTGGTAAAGAGCGAATAAGCGAATATCCATCGACACTGCTAGAAATAGCGCCTTAAAATAAGCTTTCTTACCAAGTTTAAAGGTGGCTGATACGTCCAAAGAGAGCGAATATATTGCTCCCCAAAGTCGCGAAATTTTACAGACGCTTGTAAGCGGTGAGGGCAACGACGAATTTGCGGAGCTTTATTTTCAAATCACTTTCAAACTTGGCATCCTTACTTATTTTCAGGCGTTCTTTCTCGCTGTATTGACAGATTTTCGCTTTCTGGCCCTAGTCAAAGTTGAAAAAAACGGTGGAAGGATCTATTGGGAGCAGCCTTCATAAATATAAGCATTATTGATCCCTCCGGGGGGACTCCCATATGTAAGGGGCGGGGTGCTCGTCGTCTCGCTTAAGGGTGTAAATTTTGGATTTCGGTCTCACATAGGATGTTCTGGGCAAAACGCCATTATATTTAGCCGTAAGAGTCTCTTATAGGGTTGCAATTCATTTTTTTTTGTTACTCGATTCATGTAATCATAGTTTAATATGGTCTCTTAGGGGCCAAAAAAGTTTGGACCACGCCCAGATTGGTCTCCTTTACGGGTTTAATTCGCAATTTCCTACAAGCATCCCCGCCCATTTCATATGGGAGTCTCCCCCCGGGGGTGTTGATCAACCGGGAGGTCAAGATGGCTGGATATTGGACAAGTTCTTTGATTTATTTTATTATCAGATGTATCTATTTATTTATTTTATTTTTTATGTATGTCTTTTTTTATGGACCGTGCATAAACACGCAAGAAAAGAACGACGACAATATTCAGCCATTTTGACCGAACAAAAGTAAAGGATTTATTTATTGTATAGCCAGTGAAAATATTTCATTCAGGACAAAACGAGAACTCCCGAGCATCCATTCGGAACACTTCGTACCCAATCAGAAAGCAGGATTGGGCTCCTAACCTTGCCCGTTCGTGCAATCAGCCATATAAGTACGCAGAATAAGGCATGCTGTGCTTAGAATGAATTGCGTCAAATCATTATGGGCAATTGAGACGACAGTGGGTACTTGAAGGGACTTCAGTGACTCAAGTGGCGAACAAGTGTTGTACCTCCACGACCAGACCCCCCAGCTCAGCAGCAATTTGTCATTAGCGTTATTGACGGTAAGTGCATTGATCTGAGGAAAAACTACTTTGTCATTATCATTTTGTGTGTATCGAATAAACGAATTACTATAATACTTAAACTATTGCTAGCAATATAGTTGTAAAATATGGCTCGGTTGCGCTGTACTTTAGTGTATACCATTCCCCGTTTTTTAAGCTGTAAATATCTTTAAAATGTAACCATTGGGGTGGAAGGAATTTGTTGATCAATACTATGTTGTTTGAGGTGAGGGTAGCCTTCCCACATAATCATTGAAATGAAAGGTATTCAACAATACTTTCTTGTGGTGCTGTTTATTATGTGGTTAGTCGAGTCCCGAGGGCGTAACCATTCAAATGAAAGCTACTGAGCAGTACTTTCCTGTGGTACTGTTTATTATGCTGTACAAGGTGGTTCTAACGTTCGAGTTTTCTGGATGAAATGCTGAAGTGTGACCATTCAAATGAAAGCCACCGAACGGCACTTTCCTGTGGTACTGTTTCTTATGCTGTATGAGGTGGTCCTAACTTTTGAGTTGGTGGACGTAACCTTAAAGCGTGACCATTGGAATGAGAGTTACCGAGCACTACTTGCCTCTGGTACGTTTTATAATGCCGTACAAGGTGGTTCTAACTTTCGAGTTGTTAGATCGATTCCTAAAGTCAAGTGAGAGCTACTGAGCAGTACTTTCCGGTGGTACTGTTTATTATGCTTTACAAGGTGATTCTACCCGGGGCACCCAAAGTTAATTTTCGGAAAATATCTGTTCGGAAGACGATTTGGGATCTAGAATTTTCGGAACATTTGTTGTAAATTTCTTGCTTGCCTGCCTCTGCGAGGATTTCGAACATCTAAAAAATGGTATAATTGCCTATTTTTAACGGATTTTTACCCTAAAAAGGTCACCTAGAATTTTTTGGGAGCCTTTTCTCTGGCTGAAATTTACGAAAAGGTACGTTTTCATCCCTATAATTTTCGGATCACTTGACCTTCATCTAGGAAATCCGAAAAGATGAAAAATTTCTAGGGGATAGAAATATGCCTATATCTACCGTTTAAATCAGGAGGGTGAAATCCGGCTGAAATCCTCAAATGCAAGCTCAAGTTCTCACCATGTTGTACAAGTGTTCCTACCTTTTGAAACTGTCGACAAAACCTAAGGATTAATGCGACCTTTTATGAGCGCTTTCCTCTTTAGAAGAAGTTGTTTTCAATATAACAAAAGACTACATTTGATGTGCTTGAATATGCATATGATTTTGGGCACTGTTGAGATCACAAGGGCCCTTTTAGCTGATCAAAACAACAACAACAATACAGCATTAAAATTGCGGTTGGGTTAATGATGAGGGGGCGTTTGACACATGCTTGACACCAGAAAGCCAAGTATCTGGTCAATACGAAACGCTTACTGTCAATATCCTGAAAATCCTGCTGGGACATTGCTTGTACGTACTTTAACGTGAAAGGATTTGGTCCTGAGTATGTGAGAGCATTTATCAGTGAGCCCGGAATCCCTTATTTTTTAACCCCTAATATATAGGAAGAGGAAGTTGTTCGATTTATCGGGAGGTTCGACAAGCCGGCAAATCGAATCTCGGTATTCTACTGCGGTTTCACTGTAAAACAGGAAGGTTTAATCACCGCATTTGGCATTCCTTACAACTACTTTCTTACAACATTACATTCTATTTTGCCTTTCCACTTTTCAACACAATCCTGGCGATATAGTACTTGATCATTGCAGCCGACTACGTGCCAATAGACAAATTTCAACTTTGAGCGGCAAAGAACCGAAAATGACCTTAATTTTATCGTTCTGCCCCAATATTTCTTTAGATAAAAACACCCTCAAACCAAAACGTGAGAAATAGGCGGAAAATGCCAAAACAGAGGTGCCTTACTCGGAAAAAAGACAACAACAACAATAACAAGTCATTGAATTAGCAAGAACAGCAAAATTTACTTTCATAAGTCTGTGGTAGTAATCTTTGGTGTACTAATCTGATGACAGGGTGACATGAAAATATCACGCTACATAAAATGATTGATGCGCGTCAATGACACATTTCTTAAAACCTTTATCATATCTGCACGCCAAAAAATGGCTTTACTCAAATCACGTTTTAAACACTTTGTCAAAACGCCAAACTTTCGTAAATCAGTGCACGCGTGCAAATTGCGGTTCAAGGAAAGCCGCGATGAGCTGTAATCTCTGTTTGTCATGCCGTACAAATAAACTGTTTGCGGTGGCGAGGTAATCTGATGGACCCGTTTTAAGGCTGTAAGGATATTTCGCTCTTTTTTGCTATGTGCGCGCTCATTTACATAGCGAATGAATTTGTTTACATGTCGTGTCTGTCAAGTACTTGAGAAAACAATCAATTAAAAGCTCAATCCACGGGTGTTTTTTGCCATGAATAGCACGAAAATCGTATTCTTGAAGTATGTTTATACCTATCGAGTTCTACTGACTTTGCGTGCACGAACTTCTTAGTATCTTTTGAATCTTGATAAAATACCTCAAGTAATCGTGCGTTAAATCGCGTATTAATTAGTTTATCGACCAGGCGATAATTGAAAGATAATTTTACAAATCACTAAGGACATTTTCTAGCTTGCAGAATGGTTTCACAATATTTCCCTGCGTTACGTAACTTAATGGGAAAGTTATTTATGCTGTCAACGTTAATATTTGTTAGCACAAAGTTAGAATTTCTTGAGTGTCTTCCATCATCATCATCATCTGCCACTGCAAAGGGCGCGATAGGGGCAGTTATAAGTACTAACTTGGCAGAGTTGAAATGATTTCCTTTTGCGCATGTTATAAAAAATCATTTTAAGCCGTCTAGCTGCGTCGCGATGTTGTACCGCCGATTAAAACAAAAAAAAGAGGCAATAAAGGACCAGGAGACAAGAAAAGAACAATAGCTGGGATTCTGCCTGCCTGCCAGTCAACGTTAAACAGCAGAGATTAATTAGACAAGTCAATAAGAGAACAACAACAGAGGCGTATCTTCTCCTCCTTACTAATTGCCCTTCCACGCCCCTCGAATCCATTTACACACACACGGCTATTGAAAAATACCAGCTCCGCATTGGCCGTTTTTAGAACTTCGTGTTACGACACGTGTTGAATTCGAATGAACGTCATTTGTATGGGGGCAGCCAGATGGAATTAAGTCGTTGACGATCCACTTAAGCCATAAAGCTGTGCGAGAAGGCTAAAAGCGTCATGAAAAATTTCTTGTTGCTCTTCCTTACCCTGCTGGTGTCAATCGAGGTGGTGGATAGCGTTGTGTACAGTTGGATACTCAGTGTGAATCCGGTCGACACGGATGAAGGAAAAGATGGCACCTCAACAGACAACAAAACTAAAGGGAACTCAACAACGCTGCAGGTATATTCAGTGATCTTGGATATGAATTGTTCAGTTTAGTATGACCAAGCGTATCACCTTACCGAGTATTTTTTACAAGGTCATAGTTACTCAATGTGAATACTGTATTTATAGACCTATGGGATGTTATTTCCTTTTGCAGGCCTGTAGAAAGGACAGACACTGTGGTCAAGGAAGCTACTGTCACAAACACAACGGACTATGTCATGCTTGCAAACCAATAGAATCGCCGTGTCGCCGCAATAACATGTGTTGTGGCGGTATGGAATGTGTGTTCGGATTCTGCAGAACGGCTCTTCCGCGGGGTACCAAGGGCGCTAGGTGCAGAAAGGACCGCAAATGCGATGCAGGACTGTGCTGCGTGAAAGTTCACGGAGAACCTATCTGCAGACAGTTGCTTCAGGAAGGCGATGACTGCTCCGTGCCGGAAGGCGGACTTGGTTACGCATTGAACCAGAAGTGTCCGTGCGCTGCCGGCCTAACGTGCAAGAAAGTCAAGCATCGGCATAGAAAGAGGTAAATCAACTATGGACTTTCATCCTTCGTGACGTTCTAAAAATCCAATAGGCGGTAATCAAAATTCAACACAGCAAAGCTGTACAAGAATTTGCTGAACTGATAAGCCTTCACAATCATTAGCCCTTTGTTGCGGTTATTGTGTTTTAAGGTTGTTTTGGCGTAATTTGATTTCCGTTCTCGATTTTACCTTTAAAGTTATCGAGCGTTATTCGTGTGTATTTTCCAGTCGTTCTTAATGCTCGTCTGTTGTTTGTTTGCAGACTGGTAGCACCGCTTGTCAGAAAAAAAAGAACTTGCCAAAGACTTTAGTCATACAAGGTTAAAGAGGTTAGGAGCTGTGGAAGACAATCACCCGCGAAACACTTCACTATCCAAGTGGAATTCGTGCCAAGGAGTCGGGAGCCATTGACATACTTTGTGCATAAGCACACTAAATTGAATATTCCCACACTACAATATAGACCATACTATTGAAGTGTTAGTTAAATATAATTGTATGTATATAACAGAATCCACACTCAAAGAGAGGTAAAGTAGATTTTAAAAGATAGTATAAATTATCGGGCGTTTCCGTTCCTCATTTCACGTCTAAGTGTAATTTATAACGTGGGTTGCACTTGAAATAGAAGAAAGTGCGAAGTATATAGTTGTATCAGAATGCATGGCGCAAGACTTATCAATATGCAAAGCCAGTGTAAACATCATTGAAACTTTTGTTAACTCGTACAAAGGCTTGAAGGTGTCAAACAAGACATTTATGATTTAATGGACCTAAAGCATTAGGTGAATTTGCAATTATTTTTTTCTCAACATTAAAAAAAAGTTTGGAAAAGTAAACAAGCTGTGTTATGTTGCCGTGTAAGAAAGATTTTTTACGCTCTATTAAGTTAGGGCGAAAGTATTGAGACAGTATAAAAGACCGCAAAGGCGTTGCGACTGTTTAGCGTTTGGTCATTATCAGAACCTCTGGATAAATCTTTGGGTCAATATTCACTTTAAAGCAGTGACGCAACTATATCTGGAGTCCAAAACAAGTCAAGAACAATTTGGAAAATGAACAAGTTTTGTTTTGTGTAGAAGAATAAATGCTTTTCGTTCCAAGCTCAAACGACTGTTAAAGACTTATTACTGAAAATTACCGATTTGTCCCTCCCAAAGTCATTTTGCTTTCTCTACTGACTAATTAGCTCATTCACTGAACACAATGGAAAATTCCTTAACAGCAGAATACGACCGTTTTAGTTCAGTGCCTAATGCACCCATATGGAGAAGGTGACAATAAAAAGCTAAAGAAATCGCAGAGACTAGACAATACCCGTGACTAAAACATATTACTCTTGAGGTCTCGCTCGGACTGACTGACGGAATTTACATGAATTAAAAACTGGGCTTGTACGGCCTCAGAGCAAGGGCGACGGTGCGCGACATTAGATGACATTATATAACCTTAATTGAGCGCTACTGACTACTAAGATTTCAGATTATAAATTGCATCCTGATGATGTTATTTGTCATCATCCATCATATTCTTGGTTCAGAAAAGCTTGAGCAACCTTGACTAAAGTGTATACATTTACTTGCGTTTTGCCCTCCTAGAAGAGAATGCACGTGTAAAAATGATTTTGAGAAGTTGGTAGTTACTAAGAGCAATAAAAGAGTATTGTTTACTTCCTACCACTCGGTCAAAAGCGATTTTCAAGTTAACACTTCCGCTCCACAACAAAATATTAATCTGTTTAAGTAGAGTAAGTGTATTCATTGATTCTATCGTTTTTAGAATTTTCAAATCTGACAGTTAAAAAGCTGGGTTCGATTTTCGCCTTAGAAATGATAAGCGTGTATCTCGCGTACGTGATATGCACTGTTTACAACCTTAAAATAAAACCGATAAGTTAAGTGGCCTCTTCACTGAAAGTCACCTTATAATTAAGCTTTGGATTAAATAAAGGAAACATTCAGCTGAACATTCCTTTATTTCTTCTACTAAAAACGGTCAAAAACGGCCTCTACATAAAGTAAATCATTCTGTTTTCTGTTTGGAAATAATTCATAGGTACTTTCCAAAGCCGGACAGACAATGGCAGGTGCTCACAAAATAAAACCGTCTTAAACTGTCATACACAACAAACTTTATGATTTACTCTATGTAGACTACGAGTACAGTTATTACAGCACGTTTTTGTTCAGGAACTTGGCCAATTGCACGAGGTTAAAAGGTTTTAAGTGGGCTACGATGCTGCGATGAGTTATCCCGATAAGAGTGTCTTAAGTTTGGATGGAACATATCTGAAGTATCAAAGGGCAAAATACTTTTTTAAGAAAGAAAGAAAGTTTGCTTAATTAGTAGAGTTTCCTCAATGAAATTAAGGTCAGACTGTTCAGCACCTTAAACAATGCGTTCTTTGAAACTTCAGCTCGATTATCTCAACTCGCTCACTTTGTCAAATGTGGGCGAACTCTCCTGGGGTTGAATTCCTAACAAAAATATCCAAGCTAAAAAAAAAGAGAAAGATAAATTCTTCGTCCATTGTTAACGTTGTCGCCAAAACGTGAAATTTGGGGTTTTTGAGTATTTCAGCACTTTATTTCCGCGTTTGAATACTGTAAAACTTGAGGATTTATCCACTCGCTCAACAGAAAGAAGATGGGTTGAAAATATTTGTATGCAGTTATTAAAAGAATACTTACTGCTCAGCAGCTTTCATTGTTTAAGGTCATTGATGGAAAATTACTGAGATTATACCATTATAACACCACACTTACAACGGAGATTGAATTTACTAAGGGGATTACCCCTGATAGTATTTACGAAAATTTAAGCGAATTAATTCCTCCTTCAGAAGTAACTTGATGATTTAATGTGAACATAAAACGAAGTTTCAGACTCAAGGATAAAACTTTTAAGACACACAATCTTTCGATCTCATCTCGAAATCTTTACCAAGAGATGTTGCTTGAAGTTTTGTCACGTGATTTGTATAGTAAATCACGTGACAAAACGCCTCGGTAGGTCGCGGGGAGCTCGTAACCAGGGTACCGGTTCCATATTGTAGCTCGACAATAGATTTTGATGGCCTCATTGATTCTTTTCTTAAACATGGGTAGCGTAGTTATGAGAGCACTCGCCCGCCTCCCATCGAATGTGGTCCGAGTTCAAATCCCGGGCGTCGACGCCATGTGGGGGTGGAGTCTCTCACTGCACTGGACAAAAAAATGGATTTGCACAAATTTGCTCCTTGCAAACATGTCGCAAAAATGTGAAACCGCGGAGTAAATATGGAGCAAACATGGTAAATGCCACATTTGCATACCAAACAACAGGGAGTGTAAATATCTAGGCAAATGGGGTATTTGCCGTCTATGTAACAGATTTACTCCTCAGTTTTTTTACTTTGCGGCGTATGTGCCAGAAGCAAATTTGTTCAAATCCATTTTTCCGTCCAGTGTTTTGCGTGGAGAGGTTTTTCCCCGGGTACTCCGGTTTTTCTCTCTCCCGCCTTAAAAACCAACATTTCCAGATTGTATTTTGACCAGGAATGGCAGACGAAGAACCATTATGTGGATGTGCTACCTTTAAATCTTTATCTATTTAAGTACTTATTTATTTTACATGTGGCCTTCCCTCGCGAGGATTCAGAGAGGGTCTGAACGGGGTTTAGTGTTAGTGTTATTTGCCCATAATTTTTATTATAACATAGCGCGCGTGCTTGCCCTATATAAGTCCTATTGAGCCGCTATGAACAAAATCTTTATTTACGCACGCCCGTGCGTAAATAAGATGACGTAAGCATTTTTTTTTTACCTGGCTGCAAAGTATATGTTATAAAAGAATTTGCTCATGCTTTTAGCTGTGCGTATATCGAGTTATGGATGCACTTGGGAAGTTTGGAGAGCACTCAAAAAGCTAGAGTTGCACTCGGCTATCGCCTCGTGCAACTCTTACGCACCTTTCGTGCTCTCCAAACTTCCCGCGTGCATCCATAACTCCATATACGCACGCTAAGCATGAACAAATTCTTAATTTGCTGTTAAATTGGCCAATTGTTTTGATGTTTGCTTTTTCCGAAAAAAGTACTGTTAAGTCTTTGGAGGGTTCTTCAGACATCTTCGGCAATGGTCGGACCTTTTCGTTAGTCTTCGGAAATCTTCGTTGGTCTTCGGGAATCTTCGGTAGCCTTCGGAAACCATCTGAAATAAATTGTCGTAAAATGCATGGCCGAAAACTCCTAGATATACTAAACAAGCCGTTTTTGCTTCTTTCTGGAAAAAATTTACTGCTTCAAAGAATTTTTTTACTGTTAGTGTTAAAATGCCTAAATGTTACGAAGCCAAAAAGTGTTATCGAGGTGAGGTACCCCCATTCAGACTTAAGGTATTAGCAGGAGTAAAGATTAGCGCATGCGTAGTCGGTTGGTCCGCAACCTTCTGTGCGGGAGGTTCCGAGTTCGATTCCCAGTTGTGACCTTAACACTTTCTTCTCACTTAGGGCAAAATGTTGGCTTAGGGGAGGGGTAGGTGGGCAGTTTCCCAGAAACGTGTTATGATCCGAATTCCCAGGAGTACCCCCTCGAGGGGAGGGGGGGGGAATATTATAAAATGTACTGAAAAAAGCAAACTAAAACTTGCTTTCGTATTTACATCTGTCAAAATAAATTACGGAAATTACTCTAGCTGATAGACTAGTGTACATACATAGCACTCTAACTCAAGGAAGTGTATAATCAACTGCTGACATTGGATATCTATTTAAGGACAAACTTGATTTGCTGTCTTTTGAGCAAGTTATTAAAGCACATTATTATTCACTCAAGATATTTCCCCGATTCCAGCTACTGATGACCAAATTTGGAAGAATTTTGCGATTAATCAACCGATGACGTCAAAAGTGCAGCTTCCTTGCAGGTTAATGCACCGTTAACCGAGAAGACCTGGGGACGAGGATGAGTTGTTTTGGTTGTGAAAGCAAAAATGGCGGGTATTTCACTCGTTTCAAGAGTAAGAACTAGGCGAAATAATAGCTAAAACATGGCAAGAACAGCAAGAAGACAACTCGAAGGGCGACATCTGCTATTTGGAGAATATTTGGGAAGCTGAACAATCCTAGACGCGCCCTATCGAAGATGAACTTAACATCGATGGAGGTAAGCATGTTTTAGCTATGTTTTAAACTAGGAATTATTTTGAATGAATAATAAAACAATTGTTGAATTCGGCGTTCGTATCATATGAAGAATTATGGAGATCTCGGAGGGTGTTATCCTTCGAGGCCGTAGGTCGAGGCGGATAACTCCCTCCGAGATCTCCATAATTCTTCATAAAGATACTCAGCCTCATTTATTAATTGTTAATTATCGGTGCCAGCGGCTTACTCAAGAATCGACTGGAATGAGTAGAATGCGAAATGCCGATTTCCGAGTTAAACTCTCGTTTTCAAACTGAGGCAAAATGCAAAACCTTTCCTGATTAAACAAGTTTTACTTGCATGAGAATAAAAAAATCATTTTCGCACTTTGCCTCGCCTTGAAACAGAGGCTTGAGAGGCAACTCGGAAATGGCCTAATT